CCAAACCGAGACCCCTCCCCAAACCGAGACCCCTCCCATAACCGGGACCCTCCCCAAACCGGGACCTTCCCCAAACCGGGACCCTCCCCAAACCGGGACCTTCCCCAAACCGGGACCCTCCCCAAACCGGGACCCTCCCCAAACCGAGACCCCTCCCCAAACCGAGACCCCTCCCATAACCGGGACCCTCCCCAGACCGGGACCTTCCCCAAACCGGGACCCTCCCCAAACCGGGACCCTCCCCAAACCGGGACTGCTCCCTAAACCGGGACCTTCCCCAAACCGGGACCTTCCCCAAACCGAGACCCCTCCCCAAACCGGGACCCTCCCCAAACCGGGACCTTCCCAAACCGGGACCCTCCCCAAACCGGGACCTTCCCCAAACCGGGACCTTCCCCAAACCGGGACCTTCCCCAAACTGGGACCCTCCCCAAACCGGGACCACAATTTCCGCGCCCCCTCCCCAAACCGGGCCCCTCCGCGCCCCGGCGGCGCCGGCCCCGCCGCCCCGAGCCGCTCTTTTCCCGTTGCCCCGGTGCCAGCGCCATGGAGAAGGGGAAGCTGCAGCGCTCGGCCAAGGACGGCTCCAAGCGCAGCCGGCAGGTGAGCGCCCAGCGGGGCGGTCCCCCGGTGCCCCCGGTGCCCCCGGTGCCCCCGGTGCCCCCGGTGCCCGGCGGCGGCAGCTGAAGCCCCGGTGTCCCCGCAGGCCCCGGTGCTCTACGCCATGCTGGACCACGGCCGCAGCGCCAAGAAAGCCAAGGGCGGCGCGGGGGACTCGCGCAAGGATAGGAAATAGCGGTTAGCGGGCAGGGAGCGACCCCCGGGGGCTGGCGGGGCCGCGGGGGACCCCCGGCCCCCCAAAGTCATCATGACCATCGAGATGGAGCTGCGGGGGGAGCCCCAGGCCGCGCCCCCGCCCGCCGCCCGCTCCCCGAGCCGGGGCAGCCTCAAGAGCGCCCTGCTGAGCATCATCAAACCCAACTCGGGGGGCTCCTGACGGACCCCCGGGCCCGGGACCCGGCGAGGAGCGGGGTGTGGTCCTCGCCTCGGGTCCCCCGGCCTCGAGGACGGCGCTGGGGACAACCTGGGCTCCCCCCCGGCGCCGCTCGGTCGCTCCCTGCCCAGCCCCGGGTGGAATTTCTCCTCCGGAACGCAGACCCGGCGGATTCGGGGTCGGTGTCCCCCTCCCCGGGGAGCCGCGGGGTCCCGGTGGGGCCGTGTCGCCGCCGCGTGTCCCCTCCCCGAGCTCGGGGGGGTTTCCGTGCCCCCCGGTTCTGCTCCTTTTTGGCCGTTTTCTCGTCTCTGCCCGCGACCGACCCCAAATGACGTCGCGGGGCGGCCCCCGCACCCCATCCCCTTTGTCCCCCTCCTGTCCCCCCCATTAACCCCCGCACCCCGTAACCGCCGGGACCCCCCCAAAACCGGCCGGAGCCCCCCTGGGTGGGGGGGAGCGAGGCTGCGGCCGGCCTGGGGGAGCCGCCCGTGCCCCCCGACACGTTTTGTCCCCCCTGTCCCTGTCCCCTCCCTGTCCCCGTGTTGCCATTAATAAAACTGACATCTCCGGGAGCCCCGTGTCCCCCCCGCTCCGTCACTGTCACTGTCACTGTCATTGTCGCTGTCCCCACTCCGGGGCTGGGGGTGACGTCGCTGTCACCCTCAGCGGGGAGGTGACACTTTGGAGGGTGACCTGGTGGCACCCCGAAGTCCCCCCTCAGCCGCGAGCGATGCCACCACCCCAGGGCCACCTCCCCGCCACCCGCCGTTAATTAAAGCTCGCTGTAATTAACACAGGCCAAGGCTCAGGGGGTGGGCACGGGGGGACAGTGGCCATTGTCGCCGCAGGGGTGGGTGGCTGTCACCTCCTCCTGGGAGGGAGGGGGGGAAAGACCCCAGCCCCAGCCCTGGGGGGCACTTGGGGCACGGAGCAGCGCGGGAATGGGGGAGGGAGCGCCCCGGTGCCCCCCCGGTGCCCCCCCGGTGTCCCCCGGTGTCCCCCGGGACCGTTGTCCTTTCCCTAATAAGTCTGCGCAGCCCGACCCCGCCGCGTCCCCCGGGGCCGCCGCCGCTGTTTTTCTTTCCGAGGAGCTATTTCTGCCCCGGATCGCGGCACTCCCGGGCCCTCCGAGCCCCCCCGAGCCCCCCCAAATCCGGCTGCAAACCCCCCCGAAATCCAGCTCTGAACCCCCACAAAATCCTGCTGCGAACTCCCCAAATCCGGCTGCAAACCCCCCCGAAATCCAGCTCTGAACCCCCCCAAAATCGTGCTGCAAACTCCCCAAATCCTGCTGTGAATCCTCTCGAAATCCTCCTGTGAACCCCCCCAAAAACCCACCTGCAAACCCCCAAAATCCTGCTGTGAACTCCCCAAATCCTGCTGTGAATCCTCTCGAAATCCTACTGTGAACCCCCCCAAAAACCCACCTGCAACCCCCCCAAAATTCGCCTGTTAACCCCCCCCAAATCCGGCTGCGAGTCCTCCAAAATCCTCCTGCGAGCCCCCCCCAAATCTCCTTGATTTTATCCCCCAACCTCCAAAGTACTTTTAGGGCGCCTGAGCCGCAGTGGGTGAGAAAATTCCGGGAATTTCACTGGGAATTCTTCAAATCCCAGAGGGGAAACCTGGTGGGGCTGGAGCCCGACCCCCCCCTAATTCCTGGGGCCACCCCTGTCCCCACCCCAGCAGGGACAACCCCGGGACCCCCGGCGCTGATTTAAGGGGGGGGGAGGTCCATACACCCCCCCACCAAAAAAGGGGGACTCGGGGTTCTCTCCCAGTGGGATCCCCCTCCCCAAATTGCCCCGAACCCCCGGCTCAGCCTCCTCTTCCTCACGTTTTATTCTTTGCACGGGCCAAAAGTTCCCGCGGGGGGGGTGACAGTGACAGGGACAGGAGGGTGGGGAGGGGGCGGTGAGGGTGACAGGGGGGTGGGGAGGGGGCGGTGAGGGTGACAGGGGGGTGGGGACGGGGCTGTGACAGTGACGGGGGGTGGGGAACCCCGATTTCCTGGGCCGGGGGCTGCAGCAGGATCCGCCCCCCTCCCCGGCCCGGGTGACACGGGCGTGTCCCCCCCACGCGTGTCCCCAGCGCCACCACAGGACAGGGAAATGGGGGATTCCCAGGAAAATGGGGATTCCCAGGAAAAACGGGGGGCTCCACGCCACCCCCTCTCACGAATGCCACCTCCCCTGAGGGGACACCCGGCCCCCCAAAATCCCCCCGGTGACACTCGGGGCAGGGAAGGGCCGAGCACCCCCACCCCGGGACGTGCCCGCGGGGTCCCCACGGGGATCGGGGGGTCCCCGCGGGGATCGGGGGGTCCCCACGGGGATCGGGGGGTCCCGGGACCCCCTCAGGGTCGCGGCTCCTTCTTGCGCTGCCGGGACTTGCGGAACCTGCCCTGGATGGCGAGCGCCGCCCGCTCCGTCTCGGGCGCGCTCAGGTCGATGTCGATCTCCTCCTCCTCCTCCTCTTCCTCCTTCTTGGGGTCACCGGCCTTGGCTGCCGAGGGGGACACGGGACGGGGACAGGCTTGGGGACCGCCAGATTCACGGCGGGGACAGCCAGGGGGACACCCTGCCACCATTCCTGGGGATAAGGGACAGCCTGGCACCCCCAGACTCACCCAGGGGACACCCTGCCACCATTCCTGGGGATAAGGGACACCCTGCCACCATTCCTGGGGATAAGGGACAGCCTGGCACCCCCAGACTCACCCAGGGGACACCCTGCCACCATCCCTGGGGACAAGGGATAGCCTGGCACCCCCAGACTCACCCAGGGGACACCCTGCCACCATCCCTGGGGACAAGGGACAGCCTGGCACCCCCAGACTCACCCAGGGGACACCCAGGGGACACCCAGGGGGACACCCTGCCACTCCCCCGAGACGACCCCATCACCCCCCACCCCTCAGGGGACAATCTGCACCCCAGAGCATCCCCGAAGTCCCCGGGGGGGACACCGCGACCCCTCCCAGGGGGACACCCCGGCACCTCCGAGGGTTCGGAGGAAGGACAGAGCGGGTCCCCAAACCCGCCCAGGTGCCACCCCCGCAAGGACGGGGACAATATGGGGACCCTGGGGTCTGCGGGGACAGAGGGGTCGCGGGAGGGGACAGAGGGGACAGAGGGGACAGCGAAGCCGTGTCCCACCTGTGCCGGGGGTCCTCACCTTGCTGCTGCCCACCGGGGACCTCCGCCGCGGACAGGGGGTCATGGGGGCTGCGCTGCGGAGAGAGGGGACCCGGGCGGTGACACAGGGGCTCCGCTGTCCCCGGGGTCTCCCCATTGTCCCCAGAGTTCCCCCATTGTCCCAGGGGGTCCCCAAAACCTCCAGCCAGAGTGGGGCTCTTGGGGGCTGCGCTGAGAAGACGGAAGGGCCCGGGGGGACAGGGGAGGTGACAGGGGAGGTGACAGAGGAGGTGACAGGGGAGGTGACACCGGAGTCCCCAAAGTGTCCCCGCGGTCCCCCCACCCTGCAGCCCCCCCCTCCCCGGGGCGCGGCGTCCTCCCCCCATTCCCGCTCCCAGCGCCCGGCTCGGCGCTGAAAGCCACGGGAAAAGGGGGGAACTCCTTTTTCCGGTCTGTTCCGGTGGCTCGGGCCCCCCGGTGGCTCGGGCCCCCCGGTGTCCCCGGTGTCCCCACCTCGCTCATCCCGCCCGCTGCCGCCACCGCTCCCGACGGCGGGACCGGCGCTGCCGCCGCTTTTATAGGGGCGGGTTTGAGTGACAGCCGCGAGCAGCCAATGGGGAGAGGGGGGTGGGCCCGAAAGGACACGCCCACAAGAGTGGCTTCTTCCCCCCCCCGCTCCAGGAGCGACGGACCCGGGGGGACACGGGGGACATTGGGGGGGACATTTGGGGATATCGGGGACATTGGGGACACTGGGGGGAACAGGGGACATTGGGGACACTGGGGACACTGGGGACACTGGGGACATTGGGGACACAGGGGACACGGGACACTGGGGACACTGGGAGACATTGGGGACATGGGGGACACTGGGGGACATTGGGGACACTGAGGGCACAGGGGACATTGGGGACACTGGGGACATTGGGGACACTGGGGACNNGGGACACTGGGGACACTGGGAGACATGGGGACATGGGGGACACTGGGGGACATTGGGGACACTGGGGACACGGGGGACATTGGGTACATTGGGGACACTGAGGGCACAGGGGACATTGGGGACACTGGGGACATTGGGGACACTGGGGGACATGGGGACACTGGGGGACACAGGGGACATTGGGGACACTGGGGACACGGGGGACATTAGGGACATTGGGGACATTGGGGACACTGGGGGACATGGGGACACGAAGGAGACACTGGGGTACAGAGGGGACACTAGGGACATGGGGGACATTGGGGACTTCGGGGACTTTGGGGGACACTAGGGACATTGGGGACACGGGGGACATGGGGGACACTAAGGACGTGAGGGACATGGGAGGTGGGACGGGGGACACGAGGTGACACCTCGGAGTCACCGGGGTGACCGTGAGCCACCCGATGCCACCGTCCTGCTGAGGGTGACACTTGGGGACAGGGCACAGGCGCTGCGGGGGCGTCCCGGGATGGCGACACTGCCAGCACCCCCCCACGGGGCTGGTGACAGGGACCTTCCTGAGGGGACGGCGGTGGCAGGACGGCCACCGGCGTGTCCCCTCCGGGGTGCCACCCTCCGCAGTGACATCCCGGCTGTCCCTGTCCCCGTGTCCCCGTGTCCCGCCCCGGGTGCCACCTGTCCCCTCCGCCCCGCGCTGTCCCCGCCTGGCACAGCCCCAAGTTCAAGGTTCAAACTCCACGCGGCCCTTCCGGGGACCGCGGCGACACGCGGGGACACGCGGGGATGGAGGGGACACGCGGAGACCTCCGGGGACACGCGGGGACCGCCGGCGACACGCGGGGAGCCGATGTCCCCTCACTGCGTGGGGACAATTCCCCGTCACCGACCGCACCGGGGGACACCGGCTCAGGTACCGCCGGCCACGGGGACCGGAGGGGACACGCGGGGACCGGAGGGGACACGCGGGGACCGGAGGGGACACGCGGGGGGAGGGACACCGCGGGTTCAGGTGGGTGGCACCGTGGGGTCCGTCGAGGGGACGGGACCGGTGCCAGCTGTGTGCCACCCCCGCTGTCCCCGTGTCCCCAGCCGTGTCCCTGCCGAGCCCCCGGGACCCCGTTGGGGACACGGAGCGCGACGAGGACAAAGTGTGCGCCGTGTGCGGGGACAGGGCCAGCGGGTACCACTTCCACGTCATGAGCTGCGAGGGCTGCAAGGGCTTCTTCAGGTGGGGACAGCTGGGGACAGCGGGGGGACACTGCGGGGACAGCTGGGGATAATGCGGGGACAGCTGGGGACAGCGGGCAATAGCTGGGGACACCGTGGGGACACTGCGGGGACAGCTGGGGACAGGGCGGGATGGGAAGGGACAAGGGGACAGGGCGGGGTGGGACAAGGGGACAGCGTGAGGGGACAAGATGGGACGCGGTGACACGACGGGACAGGACAGTAGGGATGGGATGGGATGGGATGGGATGGGGTGGGATGGGATGGGATGGGATGGGATGGGATGGGGTGGGATGGGATGGGGCGGGGTGGCAGCCGATGGTCCCAGCGACGGGGACAGCGCTAGCACCCCGAGCGCGGGCCCTGGCCTGGCTTGGGGACACGCGGGGACAGTGGCCGTGTCCCCCAGGCGCTCCATCATCAAACGCGCCCGCTTCACGTGTCCCCTGGCGCGGCGCTGCCCTGTCACCAAGACCAGGCGGCGACAGTGCCAGGCCTGCCGCCTCCAGAGGTGCCTGGACGTGGGCATGAGGAGGGACAGTGAGTGACACGGGGGGCACGGGGGACACGGGGGACACGGGGGA